TTTTTTTTTTTTTTTTTTTTTTTTTTTTACTTTGTCTTCTTCTGAATTTGTACTTGATTTCTGTGAAATATGCCATGGAAATCTTTTCGGCAGCATCTGGCTTTCCGATTGACTGTTTCTTTCTTTCTTCGTTACTAATGAGCTTAAGGAATAATCTGGCAAGGGGAATGATAATGGATAGAAATTGAAAATTCTTCCATTGTAGACTCACCATGATCTTCGGCGACAGTGAATGGAAAATTGAAATTGGTTTCGTGCTTGATTGTTAGAATGGTGGAATGATATGTACTTATGATATTGTCCTTAGCATAAACTCTCTCTTTTTTCATCCGACATCTCCACTTTCCCTTTAATTGAGGCTATTTTTACTATGCATTCAAGGCTCAGAGTTACTTTTTTGACATCTGAAGATTCTATTGACTACCATGTATTGACATGGCTAAGTGTATTGACATGGCTAAGTTTAGGACATGACTCTATAATATTGTCCACTTTGAGTATAAGCGTGACTTTGCTTTGAGTTTCTCCTCTAAAAGGCCTCATGATTATGATATTATCCACTTTGAGTATGATATTGTCCACTTTGAGTATAAACTCTATAAACTCTGGTGGCTTTGCTTTGAGCTTCTCCTCCAAAAGGCCTCAGGATTATGATATTATCCACTTTGAGTATAAGCTTTCTTTGAGCTTCTTCTCTAAAAGGCCTCATGCTTATAAACTTATAATCATTTTCTAAATTAGCAGACGTAAAAGTCTCACACCAATAAAGATAATATTTTTTTTTATTATAAACCCCTCATATAAGACTTTCCTAATCATTACACCCAAAGAGTGTCCTTTTAAAAAATAGTAATAAGTTTTTTTTTTTCTTTTCTATTTGATTTGATGGAGTATGCATAAACAGTTTTTGCTTAATTACTAATTGTAACCGACTTTTGAGTTATCAACTATTTTCATTTATTTAATAATAATAAATATATTTTAAAACTTTAAACATATTATTAAAATTAAAAATTTAGATTATTTTCTACAAAGTTAAAAAGATATTTTATATAATTTATTATTATTTGTGGCGTTTCAAGAAAATAAAGGACTTACAATAGAAAAAGGGAAAGATAAAAACCTACATAAAAATAGAGAGGATTAAAATAGTATTTTTTTAAAAAAGTTTTATAACTAAAATCAATATTTTGAAAAGTGTTTTAAAAGTTTGAGAATAAAAAAAATTATAAATTCAATTAAAAAAATTATTTCGGTTTTAAAAATATAAAAATAAAAAGAAGACTCTTAAATAAGCCTGGATTCAGTTTTAAAAGTATATTAAATATCAAATACATATTTTTAATAATTATTGAAAAAGAGTCATAATTGATCATACATGTGAAATAATAGCCATGAACACACCACGTCAGTCCCAAGTCGCATCAATTTAATGATTTAAGAGATTACTAATTATCAATACTAATTGATGTGATATCTTATTTGTTGTGATTCAATAATTTATTTAGTAAGATCGACTCATTATTGAAGTAATATTTCTTTATTTACTGAATAAAATTCAATCATTCTTCACTATACAAGAAGTTACTATTTATGAATTTCTTACTGTAGAAATAGAAAATGCGAACTTATTTCCTTAAGAAATAAAACAAATTTGTGTAAGATCGGCAAAAGCGTCTTCAAACAATGGAAAACTGTTTAAATATCAATCATAATTCTGAAAATTTTATTGTAGCAAGTAATTTTAAAGAAATCTTAACGAAACAAAAGAGTCTTCAAACAAGTACAATTTTCATATATATATATATATATAGACAAGAACAATATGAAAATTATGTTGAAAAATTAGAATATGCTATATAAACACAGGCAATTGCATACATATAAGTTGTTTGATGAATAAAAAGTTATGCAAAACCAAAACGCATTTCCAGACGATTTATACACCGAAAATTGGGGGAAATTTACCTTTGGCATTCAATCGCTTCCGCTCCATGGAACCTTGTCGTTCATAAGTATAACCACACCGTACCGTTGCAATAATTTTTACAATCGGCCGCGAATTAAGCCTCAAAACGCCTCCAATAAATCAATTAGCAATTTAGCTATACGCCGTGGTCATCTCCCTCGACGTCTCCGAGGAAGACGGCTCTGATTTCGGCGGAGAAGCCGGTAACCTAGAGGAGAAATTTCTGAGCGGAAACGCATCATCAACATGTCCTTCATCGTATCCTTCATCAAAATTAAGCGCATAACTAAGCGCATCGTAGTGAAAATCGACGGAAGCAGAAGAATGACGGCGAGAATGGAGGCCAAGTCGCGAAATGAAATGCGGACGCCAATCGGTCTTAGACTCAGGACTCTCCCGAGATCTGGATTTATCCTTGGCAGAGGAACACCTCGTGAGCGGAGTAGGCACATCTCCATCAGAGGAAAACGACATCCGCCGTTGGTGTTGGTGGCGTTGAAGGTGGTGGTGGCCGTTCCGGTGCCTACGAAGGCAGCAGGACAAACACAGAGAAGATTTGATTTTCGCCTTCAGAGACGACGGTGAGGCATTTTCTTTATGCTCGTTCGAATCGTCCATTGGAGAGAATAATGGTAACTGAAAAACGCTGTAAGAGAAATCTGAGAAAATCAAATAATAATGATGGTGCTGGAAGAAAACGGAGTGGTTTGAGCGTTTATATATACTCCGTAGGTGGAGCGTGAAACTACGAAAACGCCCCCGAATATGTATGTGTAAAGAACCAATAATGAAACCTAAAAGGGTATCCTTGTAATTCTACCTCTCACGGTTTAAATTGTGCCTTTGAGTCGTTGCCTTTTCTTCTTTGTACGGTTATAATTCTTCGTTTAGGCCTTCACATACCTAATTTTGATGGCATTTTTCTAATTTTCTTTATTAATCAAAATTAGAATTTTAATTTAAAATACTAAATTTAAAAAAAAGAATACTAAATTTTAATTAAATTTAAAATACATCCAATTATTTAAGTAGAATAAATAATTTGAATTTTAATTAAAACTCATTAAGTTGAAGTAGCGGTAATGACCTAGATCCACCGTTAGTTGGGCTATCCCTTTCCGGCTTCCCTTCAAAGCTTTAAAATGTATCTGCTATGAGAAGGTTTCCACACCCTTATCCCAACCAATGTGGGACATTACTGTATCAGTGCTAGAAGTGTACATAGGTTCAATTGAGATGTATTAAACATTTTTTGGATCAACATGAAATTTCAGTCTGGTTGGGTTGGTGACCTGAATGACGACTTAGATAGAGTTCACAAACTAACCCAACTCAACCCTTTATTTTTAGTTAGATTATCGAGTTTTTCATTTTTTTAATTATTTAAAATAAAATATTTATTTTTTAAATTGACACAACTAAAAATGTCAACCCGATCCATTATTCACATCACGATTTACACAATTCTGTTCAATTTTTTAGAATAAATGTATGAACGGTTTACAGTTAGGTGTAAAGATTCAACCGAAGACGTCTTGGAGATCGATGGATCCTATGAACGAGAAAACGACAAGAGTAGAAATGTCACCAATGAACCTCGTATAATAACGGAACTACGAAAATAACAATTTCCTTAAAATGTTGTTGGGCCCAGCTTTAACGCGACAAAGCCCACAACCACACAAATAATTAAATAATAATAATAAATGTTTTTTATTTTACAAATTCCTAAATAATAATAAAAGCACTGTGATGTGATATACTGGGCACGAGAACAAACCACAATTTTTAAGAGGGTACAAATCTTCTCCTAACAGATGCGTTTTAAAGAATCTCGAAAGTAAAACCCTAAAGAGAACAATATCTGCTAGCGGTGAGGGTGTGGAAACCTTCCCCTAAAGCCTTGAGAAGAAGCCCAAAAAGAACAATATCTGTAGCGGTGAGAGTGTGGAAACCTTCCTCTAGCAGACGTGTTTTAAAGCTTTGAGGGGAAGCCCGAAAGAGAAAGCCCAAAGAAGACAATATCTGGAAGTCCGAAAGGGAAAGTTCAACGAGGACAATATCTGAACCTCGAAAGGAAAAGCCGAAAGAGAACAATATCTATTACTAATGGGTCTTAGTCGTTACAAGTAATGAGTATCTTATCTTTTGTGCTATGCTCGAGTTCACTGGACACCACTATTTAAATAAACCTTGCCCGAGAGAGAGAGAGAAGCAAATTGTAAATTAGGGAGAGGTTTCACCTAAAAGGGCTAGGTTCGAGTTCTGCTTTGACCTAAAAGGGCTATCGGGTTCATGGTTTTAAAACACAAACACGTCTATTAGATAGAAGTTTTTACGTTCCCTTTAACAATAGATGTAGGATCTCATAATTCATCCTCTTTGAGAACAACGTCTGACTCTATTGTAACGGTTAAATGCAAAATTGAAATAATATTCTTTTCTTAAAAGAATAGATACACACAGATCCACTATGCTTTATCTTTTAGTCTGTAATTTTGTAGGAAATTTCTTCCCTTCTTCCTCTTCCTTGTTTTCTCTCACTACTTTCATGAGAGAGAGAGAGAGGAATGATTGAGAAAATCGTGTTGTTATAATTGTACGTTTTACGCTCACCTTCAATGGCGGGGACCCGTTTTTGTCCATTACCTTCATCACTTCCATGCTCCGTTGGCCTTCGTTCTTTATCCTTATTTTAATTCATTCTGCTCCAATTTCCCCATCTTCGATCGATCTTTCCAGTTCTTTTCATTTTGTTCTTCGTGTTCTTGATTTTTCTATTTCTGGATTTCTTGTTTGAGTTGCTGGAAATGAGAGATTTCGATTGGAATTGTTCTTTTACAGCGCATCTGGATTTTGGTTCATTTTGATTAAACTGAGAAACTCCATTGATTTTGAGTTGGAATTGTTCTGGATTTGGGGAGTTTTTCTCTGTTCTTTGTCGTTCTGGCTTTTCAGCAACTGCGTGGTTCTGATTCATTTGCTGAAACTGAGAAAATCAGTGAGTGTTCGGGGATTTTATAAGCTATGTTTTCTCTGTTCTTCTTCATCCGATGAACTCCATTGATTCTGAGTTAAAATCAGTGCGTGTTCGCGGATTTTACAAGTTGTCTTCTCTCTGTTCTTCTTCATCTGATGAACTCCATTGATTCTGAGTTGAAATTAGTGAGGGTTTGGGGATTTTATAAGTTATCTTCTCTCTGTTCTTCATCATGTGATGAACTCCATTGATTTCAAGTTGAAATCAGTGAGTATTTGGGGATTTTACAAGTTATCTTTTCTCTGTTCTTCTTCATGTGATGAACTCCATTGATTCCGAGTTGAAATCGGTGAATATTTGGGGATTTTACGAGTTATCTTTTCTCTGTTCTTCTTCATGTGATGAACTCCATTGATTCCGAGTTGAAATCAGTGAGTGTTTGGGGATTTTATAAGTTATCTTCTCTCTGTTCTTCATCATCTGATGAACTCCACTGATTCTGAGTGGAAATCGGTGAGTGTTCGAGGATTTTACAAGTTATCTTCTCTCTGTTTTTCTTCATCTGATGAACTCCATTGTTTTTCTGCAATTATGCTCTCATTAATCTGCTGAAACTTACAAGCTCTTCAAATTTTGAATCGAAATCTGCTCAAAATCGTCTTCGAATTTATTTCATCTAAATAAACTCGTTGATCAATGGCTGGAATGTTGCCTGGAGTTGAATGCGCGAGACGGCGGCGGTTCCACCAGAGCATAACGTCATCGGAATCGGCGTCCACGGCGGCGAAATTAGGATCCACAAGAAGGTCCTCCTTCTGTTTGTATACAAGCAACCGTGATTTTCACCTCACTTCATCTTCTTCACAGGTATCAAAACAAATCTAGAAATTCCATCCATATCCTTCGAATTTTCTGTTTGTTTCCCGTGAAAATCTTGATGAATGATTTCAATTGTATAAGCAACGGTGCTCTTCGAATCACGCTTACCAGAACGAGAAGCTTGGGCAAGCTGCAAGGGAAGCTAAGGAACGGTTGGATGAGAGGTTGAGAACGCACAGAAAACCTGAGAATTCAAGGTAATTTCTTCATGAACCACCTTATTTCTTCATAATTTTGTTTCATCTTTATACATATATATATAATAGGAATTAAAATATTATTTTAGTTGATTTTTGTACTATGAGGAGAAAGAGTGTGGAAACCTTTCACTAGCAAATGTGTTCAACTTCTCCTTACCCGATAGTTATATGCAGTAACCTATTGTTATTGTCTTTTGCTTACATTCCCATATAACACCAATTTCAATTTTTCAAATCTTACTTTCGAAATCTCTCTGCCTCTGTTTTCTAAAACCTTCTTCTTGAATCGAGGCCAAAGGCTCGAGCATACGTCACTTGACAGTAGGCGATCCAAGAACAAATAGACTTAACTCACTTGTTGCTGGAAAGTGAGTGTTACACAATCGCAAGTCTGCTATCATCAAACAACGGCTTACTGCATATAACTATCGGGTAGGGAGATATGACTAGTAAAACCTAAACAAGATAGTATGGGCTAGGTGCAGGGTTAGGGTTAGGTTGTTATATTTAATTTTAGTTTATATAGTTTAATTAGCATATAAATTGTTATTATTCTTATTTAAAAAATTATATTATTTTAAAAATATTTTAATCATATTTGAACTAAAATTAAATAAACTTGAAAGTAAAGAAAATAAAAACTATAAAAATCATTATCGATCATTGGAGCGGGTAGCAATTAGGTCCTTCAACTTTGTTAAGTGTTGAAACTATTATCGTTTACTGTTTTTTTTTGTCTTCTATATTGATTGACAATAAATTGGGGTTTTCGTGTTAACCCATAAGATAATTAATTAAATTAAAAGTTTAAGGATATAATTAAAACCCGAAACAAAGTTGAAGAAGTTGATTGCAATAAGTAACCAAGTTTAGGGATTAATTGGTCAAATGTTTTGTTTTAATTATTAAAAGAAGAAAAAAATAGATTTGAAAAGTTTGAATTTAGTATCTTGACAAATCGTCTCTAAACCATACCTGATAGCCACGTAAAAACCCAATTCACTTTCGTTCATTTTTACTCGACCCTATAATTTTATCCTGACAACTAACGAATTAGTTGCTTGAAAAATTTAATAACACAAGAAGACAACAAGGCTCTACTAAATTATCGCAATAGAGCCAATTCAAAACTTTTAAATCATGTTCAAACTACGAGAATAGCCAAATTTAAAATTAACGTTAAAAATCTATTGATTTTCTTTTTGAATTATAGGACGAAGAGTAGTAGTGAAGAAGTAAGGTTGAAGAAAGAGAATGTGAAGGGAAAGGAAGAAACAACAACCAAGAAGAGGTTCAGTTGGGGGAAGCTAATGAAATGGAAAGCCTCCGAACAAGAAGAGTGCACTGTTTGTCTCGAAAGGTTCAGAGCGGCCGAGCCACTGGTCCATCTTCCATGCGCCCACAAGTTCCACTCCATGTGCTTGGTCCCTTGGCTCCAAGCTAATGCCCATTGCCCTTGTTGTAGGTACCCTATTCTCGCTCAATAACAAACGAGAAAGTATTCGAATAAATTAGATGTACGAGAAACCATTAAAAAATTAAAAGTGATTAAACGAATTACATTTTGATTAAAATAATAATAAAAGATGAAATATTTGAAAAATAATTAAATATAAGTAAATAAATAAGAAAATGAAATCTCATGTCAGCATTTTACAAAAGGATTAAAATTAAATGGAATAAAATCAGTTTGGTCTGATTCAGATGATTCAGCTTTCCACAATTTAATTCATTTTATAATCCAAAATACAAATTGGAGATCTTTAAATATCACTATTACACCACTTCAATAATTTTATCAATAAAAAATAAACTTTAATACGAGATCTCACATCGGTGGAAGAATAAAAAAAACATTCTTTATAAAAGCGTGAAAACCTCTCTCTAATATACGCATTTTAAATTGTGAGGCTGACGACGATACGTAATAGGCCAAAGTAGACACTATCTACTAGCGGAGGGATTTGAGAGCCGATTGGAATTCGTAGTCAAAAGTGAGCACTTTCGGTTGTGGGTTTGAATAAAGCATATTGGCTAAACATATTTAATGATCTCATTGGTATGAACCTTTTGGGGAAGCCCGAAGTAGAGTCATGAGAGTTTATGCTCAAAGTGAACACTATCATACCATTATGGAGAGTCGTGATTCTTAACATGGTATCAGAGTCGTGCTCTTAACTTAACCATGTCAATAGAATCCTCAAATGTCGAACAAAGAAGTTGTGAGCCTCGAAAGTATAGTCAAAAGTGACTCAAGTATCGAACAAAGTTCGAGGGCTCCATAGGCCTCAGGGGAAGCTCTAAAGTGTACTTTGTTTAAGGAGAAGCAATGCCACGAGAGCTCGAAAAGTCGTGATTCCTAACAATAGATTTGATAGGTTCGGACATAAGTCTTAAATAGAGACAATAAACACGATATATTTCGTCGAATTTGGGATAAATTTTGCATTATTATTAAGCAAAGAGAATGAAATAAAAGGAAGTATAATTATACAATTCCAAATATTTTGTGTTTAAGCTTCTAATTGCCTTTCTATTCCATATAAAATTCCACAGGAAAAAAGAGCTCAAAATACATTGGTTTGGTATCGAACCTTGGCCAAATTCTATCCTTCTAGCAGAAATTTCAGGTTCTGAAGCCCTTCAGCTGAAATGCTTCGTCTAAATCTTGGCCTCTGAAACACCACAGGCTCAGGTGGCTCCAAATGAAAGCTAACCAACACCACTGTTAAGTTGTCCGTGGCTCCTCTCTTTATGGCTTCTTCTACTATTTCCTTGCAGCAAAGCTTCACGTCGTTGTGTTCTTGGAGCCTCCGACGAGCAAAGTCGATAGCGTTTTGACTTGTGAACACGTCCCATATTCCATCGCTCCCTATGATCAAAAACTCCTCCTCCTTCGTCAATGTTATTAGTTTAAGTTCGGGTTCGGCGCTTAACGGTCCACCTCTCTCGCTCATTTCCTTCATTCCTTCAAGATGCCAGTCTCCTAACGCACGAGTGACCCCAAGTAGTCCGTTTAGGTAATCGTCGTCGATGAATCCGCCCAAGGCCTCGATTCTCTTGCGTTCTTTTGTGCAGCATGGTCTGTGGTCTTTAGACATTTCTATTGCACACCCTTGTCTTGATAACACTGCTCGGCAATCGCCAGCGTTTGCTACAAGCAAAGATCTGTTTGAAATGATGACGATTGTTAAAACGAGAAGATCGAAATCGGTGTAAACGAAAGTGAAAACGAGTACCTTCCGAATATCATTGCAGTCAGTGCAGTTGTGCCTGAAGATAGAGATGTTTCGAGAGTGCAAGATCTAGCGAAAGCTGCATCGGTCTCCATAAACGACCTCGTGACCACTTTTTCAAGCGCTAAAGGAAAGTCGGAATCTTCGATGATGACTCTTGGTAAGTGGTCACGAACGAATTGTGCAGCGCCTTTTCCTCCGTGACCATCGAATACCTATTTGTTCATGATAAGCTAAAGATCAGAAGTTGCCATCCTCATGGCTAGATCTAATCCAACAGAGTGATAAAACTACGTCGAACCAAATGTACTTGTTTTTATATATGGCTGGAGACGAGCAACGAAAACTAGCTCTACCAACAAACCCGAGAGATCGGTTGATTCCAATTACAGGAGCGAAACGGGGTTTGCAACATCCATGTAAAATCTCAGGCCTCCCGTTACCCGACTATCAAACCCGTCAAGCCAATGTTTCCCCACTTGTGCAATTTGCATATGTTCAAACAGACCAAGGGCTTATCCACTACCAATCGAAACGCATTACCTCGTCCTCAATTTGGCTACCACTATAGGTTGTTGGGTTATTAGTCATGTAACAGCCTAAGCTCACCGCTGACAGATAGATATTGTCCTCTTTCGCTTTTGCTTTCCCTTTCAGGCTTCAGCCCACCTGCGATAGATATTGTCTTCTTTGACTTTCACTTTCAGAACCGACGTGGGATCTCACAATCAATTAGGTTTCTACACCTGTTTCCCTCTCCAATCGATGTGGGATCTCACAATCCAGTTCCCCTCTCCAATAGATGTGGGATTTCAGAGTCCACTCCCCTTTAGAACCCAGCATGGGATCTCACAATCCAATTCCCCTCTCCAACCGATATGGGATTTTATAGTTCATTCCCCTTCGAGACCCAATTCACAATCCACTCCCCTTCAGGACCTAGCATGAGATCTCACAATTCAGTTCCCCTCTCCAACCGATATGAGATTTTATAGTTCATTCCTCTTCGAGACCCAGTTCACAATCTACTCCCCTGCAGGACCCAGCATGAGATCTCACAATCCAGTTCCCCTCTCCAACTGATATGGGATTTTATAGTTCACTCCCCTTCGAGACCCAGTTCACAATCCACTCCCCTTCAGGACCTAGCATGAGATCTCACAATCCAGTTCCCCTCTCCAACTGATATGGGATTTTATAGTTCACTCCCCCTTCGAGACCCAGTTCACAATCCAATCCCCTTCAGGACCCAGCATGAGATCTCAGAATCCACTCCCCTTCAGGACCCAGCTTGGGATCTCACAATCCAGTTCCCTTCTCCAACAGATATGAGATTTCATAGTCCACTTCCCTTCGGGACCCAGTGTCCTCACTTGCAGACACTCGTTCCTTTTCGTTCCTTTCTCAAACATATTTAGTAAAGCTATGTACGATAGATAGTTATAGAAGAAGGTAAATTACTATAATTGGTAAAACTAGTATGTAAGTAAAATTTGGATAAGTTTATAGATACTAAATTCTTAACCAACTCCTATACTCAATTAATGAAAAACGCTATCATATTCCTCAACCCAATGCTTCCAAATTTCTTGGATTTCTTTTGTGGGGGGGGATAAGATTCAGATGCTGAAATAACTATCAAAAAGCACATTAGTTTTGAATAACATATCCTATTTCCATGGACGACACAACATACTAATGTTCTAATGTTCTCATTCTCTGTCGGGGTCGTATTCGTTTTGCATACGAAGATTCCAAGTCAAAATAACATCAGTTTTATGAACTTACACCATAGAAGGAGACCGCTTCCTCGTTGACAAAGCTACACCCGAACTTCTTACCCATGTCCTGAATGCATACATGAGTGTCCTCCATATACGGACGCTTTCCGATATCGGACCATTCTCCCGATCTAAGCGCAGGAACAAAAGTAGATGGGCTCTCTTTCCTGTCTACCACTGCAGCGTCCTCGGAAATGCTCTCGAGCTACATGAATCAAGAGAAACGAACAATCACCAAGTTAGATGGGTTCGTTGCCACTTTCTGCATCGACAAAGTTTGAACAATGGCGCTCTTCAAGGAGCGGCATTAATGACTAACGGAGAACCGAAGGAACCCCATCTAGAGGCTTCAATAGACGTGATACTAGGAATATCTATAGGTTTATCATATCGATTCAGCTACACGAGTATTCAAATTCAGGGAAGGGATTCATATCAACGAACAAGATGCTTTTAGGGACAAGTGAACCAAGTCAAGGTTACAGAGATGTGTACTTGGGCAAAAAAATTCAACTCTATCGTTCAACAAAAGGTCCTATTAAGTAGAATTCATAAATACAACTACAATAGCTCAAGCCCACCGCTAGCAGATATTGTCCTTTTTGGACTTTCCCTTTCGGATCTCCCCTCAAGGTTTTAAAATGCGTAGGAATGTTTCGTTCTCCTCCCTAACCTATGTGGGATCTCACAATCCACCCCTCTCGGGGGCCAACGTCCTCGCTAGCACACTATCCGGTGTATGGCTCTGATACCATTTATAACCGCCCAAGCCCACCGTTAGCAGATATTGTCCTTTTTAGGCTTTCCCTTTCGGGCTTCCCACAAGGTTTTAAAACTCGTCTACTAGAGAAAGATTTCTACACCCTTGTAAGGAATGTTTCCCTCAAGGTTTTAAAACGCGTCTATGCTAGGGAAAGGTTTCCACACCCTCATAAGTAATGTTTCGTTCTCCTTTCCAACCGATGTAGGATCTTACAATTCACCCCCCTTTGGGGCCAGCGTCCTCGCTGGCACATCTCCCGGTGTTTTACTCTGATACCATTTATAACAGTTCAAGCCCATCGCTAGCAGATATTATCCTTTTTTAACTTTCCCTTCCGGGCTTCCTCTCAAGATTTTAAAACGTGTCTACTAGGGAAAGGTTTTCACACTCTTATAATGAATGTTTCGTTCTCCTCTCCAACCTATGTGGGATCTCACAATCCACCCCATTGGGGGTCTAGTGTCCTCGCTAGCATATTGCCCGGTGTCTGGCTCTTATACCACTTATAACAACCCAAGCCCACCATTAGCAGATATGGTCATTTCTGGGCTTTCCCTTTCAGGCTTCCACAAGGTTTTAAAACGCGTCTACTAGAGAAAGGTTTCTACACCCTTGTAAAGAATGTTCTCTCAAGGTTTTAAAACGCGTTTATGCTAGGGAAAGGTTTCCACACCCTCATAAGTAATGCTTCGTTCTCCTTTCCAACCGATGTGGAATCTTACAATCCACCCCCCTTGGAGGCCCAACATCCTCACTGGCACATCGCCCAGTGTTTGCCTCTAATACCATTTATAACAGTTCAAGCCCACCGCTAGCAAATATTGTCCTTTTTAACTTTCACTCCCGGGCTTCCCTCAAGATTTTAAAACATGTCTACTAGGGAAAGGTTTTCACACCCTTATAATGAATGTTTCGTTCTCCTCTCCAACCTACGTGGGATCTCACAATCCACCCCTTGGGGGCCCAGTGTCCTCGCTAGCACACCGCCAGTGTCGGGCTCTGATACCATTTATAACAGCTCAAGCCCACCACTAGCAAATATTATTATTTTTGGGTTTTCCCTTCCGAACTTCCCCTCAAGTTTCAAAACCCGTCTACTATAGAAAGATTTCCATACCCTCATAAAGAATGTTTCGTTCTCCTCTCCAACCAACGTGGGATCTCACAACAACCGTCCTCGTTGGTTTTTCTCCCTTATCCTCTCCTTTCGTCCATACCAAGGGACCATAAACTAAAGTAGGAATTGTACAAGCTACAGAAACAAGAAATTCATGCTAAAAACTTTAGAAACTCGACAATGGAACCTCAATTACAACATAAAAGGACTAAAGTAACATCTTTTAACAAGCACATTAACGACAAAAAGTAGCTGTTCCTGAATCATAGAACTTTCAAATCAATTACAGTGAACCATACTTTCATGTTCTCAAACAAATTTGGAATTGAAACAGAGAAGAACCCATCAGATCAAACCAACATAAACAGAGAACAGAGCTCAAATCAGTGAAGAACACCATACAGTGAAATCCAACCAGATTCATATCAGCTACATTCAGTGAAATCCAAGGAATCCCATCAGAGAAATCCCCAAAAGAAAGAACAACAAAACAAGTTCTTCACAAAATTTCACCAAATACCCAACAAAAAAGGGGGAAAACCCAGTACGAATCTAACAAAATATCCCTCAAAAGCATAGAAATGAGTAAAAAGGAAGCAAGATTCATACAGGAAAAGAATTCCCAGAACGGGTTAGGTCGCTGGTTCCACCAAGATCAAGCTCCTGATCAGGATTCCCCATCTGGGTCTCCAAAAACTCACAATGCATGCGCCATGGCTTGGTATTAGTACTCCCAGAAGGCGCCCTCTCAGCCCCAACCGGCTCGGAATCCGTCACACACATGACGATAAAATACCAAAAGAAAAAGCTGTGAGGAGTTGGGTGGCTCGGGTTCAACTTGCAATAGGTGGGTATCCAAAGAAACAGAAGAAAGCACAAAGTTAGAGAGAGAAAGAGAGGGAAGAGAGGGAGAATGAGAGGAAAATGATGGAGGGAGAAGAAGATTCTGAGAATATGTATAATGGGTTCAGAGAAATTGAAAGGGAAAACCCTGATTTGAGCATGAAAAACAGTGAGAAACAGAATTAAACAACAAAACAGAGACGAATTGTTTTTAATTTCCAAATTTTTATAATTGAAAATTTTCCTTTAAATTGGGAAATGTTCAATGTTTGTAAATTCAATTTAAATTTCTTTTTAACTTTTCAAGAAACTTGCCTTCTTCCCCTTTTAATTTAAAGACATAAAGTTTGGCCATTGGAGTCTGATAAGGATAATGATGAAAAAGTTCCCGTAGAGATTATAATATCTTAAAAGTAAGTTCGAGAGAAACGTAAGGTGAAAGAAAGTAAGTATCGGTTGCATGCACTGAAATATAGTTCGAGCTTGTAACGTATACTCTAGTATTCTAATATGAAATGAAAATCTTGTTGGTTTCGAGGCCAATTTTGACTTTTTTCTTTGTTCATTCTCATCAACCACGTTCATGAATTCCCTTTGGTTATTTTCGATTTAATGGCTTGTTTGGCCCTTTGTAGACTTAGGAGATGGTTCGACCATGTTTCTCCTTAAAGTCATAGATGTTGATTATGTTGGACGATGAAAGTTCCACGTCGACTAATTTAGGAAATGATCATAGGTTTATAATCAATGAATACTCTCTCCATTTGGTATGAGGTCTCTTGGGGAAGCCAAAAACAAAGTCATGAGAGCTTACTCAAAGTGGACAATATCATATAAGTGTGAAGAGTCGTGTTCGTCAACAGATTAATCTCAGTCTCACGATCACATATATTTTAACTCAACCCTATAGTTAATTTTTGACTCGCATCAAGTTGATATATATATATATATATAGGTGTCCATGATCTTGACCTGTGAGTTTTTAAAAATGGGGGAGTCATTAAATTTATTATTTGAGCTGCATGTTTCACATTCCTTGAATCATTAGTTGGCAAGAACATTGATCAACCCTCTCTCTCTCTCCTCTTCTCTCTCTTCTCTCTCTCCTCTTTCTCTCTCTCTCCTCTTTTCTCTCTCTCTCTCTCCTCTTTTCTCTCTCTACAAAGCAAAGAGATGAATGGTAGGTATTGCATCCCTAGAAATAGGCATCAATGGTGATAGCTACCTTTACATGACATGAGGACTTAGAAAGGAACCTAATTCACACATTCTTTTTCTTTTCCATTCATAAATTCAAATAATATTATTATTTCCAATTCAAATATCTGACATTTTAATAAATAATGAATTATTTTTATCATTTATTGTTGGTTGGTGTATCATATTAATAAAATTTCAAATTTCCCATTAATTATATTAACAGAATATTTAAAATTTAGTGACTAATAAAGACTTAAGTAGATATTTTAAAAATATATAATATTATTATTAGTAAGGATTAATTGAAAGGAGAAATATTCTTAAAATAAAGAAAATAATAAAATTTTGATTCTGTTCACACTTAGAATTTTGCCAAATAGGGCCACGCAACACAATCACTAACCTCAATTTTATTTTATTTTTTCTTTTTCTTTTTATTTATTTATTTTAAGTTCCCAAAAAAAGTGACAAAACCCCCTAAATATGACAAATTACAACTTGTATATTTACCAAAAAAAAAGTTCCCATTAATATTAATTAATAACATATTTATTGAATTAATATTTATTTAGAATTACTAATTAAATAGCAATAATTGTGACAAAAAGAGATGTGGAATGAAAATGACCTAATTAAAATAAATAAATAAATAAATAAACTTTCATTAATGAATGCATTTCAATTTAATAAATGCATAAATTTATTACAAATGGCCTATGAATCAGATACAATATTAAGAGTTTATACATTAAGATTAAAAATTTAATAAATGCAATTTTTAAAAAAAAAAATAACCTATAAATCAGATACAATATTCAGAGTTTATTTTTGAAAATTAAAATTAAAATTATTTTTGGTTGGTTTAAGATGTGAATATCCAACAATAACATGGGTTAGTGGTCCATTTTGCTTCCATATTTCATGCAATATAAAATATATCTTCACCTAATAGTTGAGTTACGAATTTGAACTTAAATTGAATGGCATAAAAAGTAATAGAAATTTAATTGAAATTTTTATAGGAGTTCGGCAAATTAATCTATTTTCTTCTTATACTAAACGACATGACATGGCCTACAAGTTTAATCTTACGATTTTTCATTCTTATTTCAATTTCGATCTTCGTTTAGAATTTGCTCCATAAAATAGTCATTTCCACCCTTTCCCGTCAAGATCGACAAGAAACCAAATCATGTCACTTCATCACTAAGATTTCGACGTGAATAGAATAACATCTTCCTTCCCACACATACAAAAAAAAAAAAAAAACCTATGTCCTAATCTAACGGCAATTGTATGAATCGAGAGGCAACAAAATTGTAGCAATGAGATGGAAAGAGATCGACCTGAATAGAATAAACGTTCTTCACGAACGTCTACGAAAACCTATGTTCTAATCTAATGCAATTGGATATATCAAGAGGCAACAAAATTGTAGCAATCAGATGGAATGGGATAAATAGGCATCAAGACTAAGCCTTGGAAAGAGATTGAGATGTTTGGAAAGGCATTGATAATAACAAACAAGAATCTATATCCACAACAACAAGCAACATAAATGGGCCACAAAAACAAAGCTTAAAGTGATTATAAAGAATAAGGATTCCAACCTTACCTTGGAGTCCAATAAGTCAGCAAGTCTTTTATAGACCAAGGCAACCTCAGAAGAAATAGATGCCTCGTTATTTTGTTGCATTTCTAACCCAACTTTCCCTGCGGAAAAGCAAAAGAGACCTAGAAGAAAGTGGAGGATCTTAACATATTACTTGAACATTAATCCCTGAGATTGCCTAATCGACTCAAGAAATTTGGTGTCATAAACATATTATTTACTCTAAGGAACAATGCAAAAGCAAGACCAGCATTTCACAATAAGTCGACATGGAAAAACAAGACCAAAAACCTGCTAGAACAAGTTTGTTGATATGATCTGACAACCAGGAGAATATGGTACCTTCAAAACCCCCAAATTTACTAGAAATAATACGGGACATGAAAACAAAAAGAACAGAATAAAACAGTCCATATTGATACCAAAATCCAGACTGCCAAGTCTTCAAAACCCTCTTGAATCAAATATGGCCTACAACAACTCTAAATAGTTCTTTCATGCTGTTTTGGTATCAAAAGCAGAAGCCTAAATAATTTAAATTCCAGCAAACGCCTTCTTCCCAGTTGAGGATCCAGCAGGAATGACCTTCAACACATTGAACCTTACTGTCTTTGACAATGGCCTGAAATTCAAAGGAAAAATGTGAGACTCAATGGGAAGAATTTATCATATCACGAGGATCAAGGGGTAGAATTTATCATATCTTGATGTACCTGCATTGGCCAATAATAACATGATCTCCCTCCTTCACACGAAAGCAAGGAGAAATATGGGCAGGAATGTTGGAGTGCCTTTTCTCATACCTGAGGGAGACGAGAAAAACAATACATCAAAATCATGAAGAGAAAAATCGGGTGGTGTGGTGGTGGGAGGGGGATCTGGGAAGTACCTCTGATATTTCTTGACATAATGTAGGTAGTTCCTCCTGACAATAATGGTTCTGACCATCTTAGCACTATGGCAAGTTCCAGCTAAAATGCGGCCCCTAATAGAGACAGTTCCAGTGAAGGGGCATTTCTTATCAATGTACGTTCCTGCATGAACACAACAGAATTGTAAATACTTATCATTGCGAAGCAAAGACGTTCTCCTTTTCACTGGATAATCCTTATTTCCAGCAACAATTCAGAGAACAGGGGAGCAAGATACACCTAAATATTGGACCTTACTAAAGTTGCATATGGTACATAGTATAATTGATGATGCTCTAAGGATTTAAAATTCTTTTTTTCAACCATCCATACCCATTCTATTAATAGAATGGTTATAAAATCATCAACATTACAGCTAATAAAGCTTTTACCATACGTTGTTTATCAGAAACAACCACCCATTCTACAGCATTACTGATTATTGGAAACGAAGATACCAATGAAGCTCAAACCAGATTAAAATGATCACAGCACATTGTTTGTTACCAGTGATAAAAGCACAAAGTGTAAATTCTATAGCGGAAAACAACCAGTTCAGAATAAACAGTACGTTTAGCTACCAACGTTTAAAGAACTAAACACATTCATATTAGCAAACCAACAAACAAAGCAATCAGAGATTACGAAGATAGAACCTTCAATGGCTTCCCTAGGCGTCTTGAATCCTAATCCAATACTCTTGTAGAAACGGTTCCCGCCCTTTCCAGGTCGCTTTCCCTTCCCAAGCTTTTTGGAGCTATTTTGTATCGAAACAGAACAATAACTAAATCAGGAAAGAGAACCACAAAAAACTAATCCGAAAAACAGAAAAAAAATCAGGATTACAGCAAACAATAAAAAATAAGAACTGAACAGATGCCGTACTAAATCAAACATAGAAAAGTATATCAATTCGTTTACCAGAGAAAAACTTTGGGCTGTTTCAAAAACGCCTTCTCGGTCTGCAGAAAAAGAACAAAGAGTTCAGATACAGAACGCTGAAGACAATAAAACGGAAACAAAGAAGGTTTGAACTGAAAAAAGAAGTGAAAGCCGTCGATTGGATGGAAACCTGTTCCGCCATGATTTGAACTTCTGAAGAGAGCACGAGTTCTGGTTTGCTCAGGCGGCCGAAGGAGGAGACTTTGATTACTGGAAGAAACCCTAAACCTGTTTCAGAGAGTTATAGAGTAGACGGGACAACAAAATGGGCTTATTAGCAAAATTGGGCCTATACATGTAAATGGGCCTACTTTTAAATAATGTGAATTAAATAATATTTTTTCTTTTAAAAAATAATATTAGTTTATGATTTTTTAAGTTAAATTTATATATATATGCAGTAGTATTTCTTTATTTGCTTACGCTTTCTTTAATTATCGTTCTCAAATGAATTTACTCGTTCTCGCAAACGTGACTCGAGGCTCAACATATGCAACATTAATTTGTTTACTAGGTTAGATTAAGTGTCGTACAATGATTGTCTCACTATCGTAAGAGTGCGATTGTGACAAGTGGTATATATATATATATATATATATATATATATATATATATATATATATAATGGTTATATAGATTCAAAGCTGCATTAAAATTTTGATTAAAATGACGAAGATAACCCATAACATCCATCTCAACTCATCCGATCATATCCCCACCTTAAAGGCATCCGATGACCTTAGAGTACGTTGAAGAAGTGAATCCTATAAGCTCACCAAACTTGGCAACTCTACACACTCGTTAAAGATAGTTTTGGTCAAAAATATGTCTCAACAATTTAAAAGGTGTTTGGATAGAATCCACTCGTTATTTTCCTCTAACTCGATCACCC